GCAGATCTCGCCGACGATGTTTGGCGGGCCAGGTATGTGGTCGATGACGAGGCGTATGGCAAACTCCTCCAGAAAGATGAGATCGGCACGCTGGATGAGGTGGAGGTGCGGCAGAAACATGTCTTTGAGTGCATCCGCAATGTGCACAAGGTTGATCCGCGTCGAGTCGACCACAACTACGAGGTGGTGCACTGCGGCAAGGAGCTCGTTCCGTACGAGAACTACATCAGGTGAGGGATGAATTAAAGCAAGCTGTGACCTGGTCGAATCGATTGGCCCCGGTCTGTTCTCCGATTTGTCAGATCGAGTGCGAGATCATTCTCTGCTCGTTCCAAGCAAACAACGCTTCTAAGCATTGCCTCTTTGCATTTTGGGCTTTCAATCGTCCTTGCCATCTTTCTCTGCGATTGCAAAGAGATGTCTGTTGCATTCTTCAGCTGTTGTAAGACGTGACGCCATATGACTGCTAGTTGCAAGAAGTCAGCTTGTCATTTGCCAAAGACAAGGTGGACCAAGGCTCTAGTTCATACTGACGGTATCATGTGCGTGCGCACAGGGAGGAGCGGTTGGTCTGGATGCGACCCAGCAGCTTTTGGAATTTAACACCCTCTGTGACTCTTTTATGGCTTTCCTTGACAGGTTTCAAACGACCCCTTTCTCTGACATCATGGACGAGCTCACGAGAGCCTTGAAGGAAGGTGACATGGAGGGCGTCACAAAGGAGTATGCCGCTGCCAGGGGCGACATGTCGCGTCGGGTACCCTTTGCCGCGATGCTTCTGGCAGCTCTGTTGGGGTGCCAGCCGGGGGAGGTGGAAAGGCGTAAAGAGGATGGGTTTGCGGTGGAGGAGGATACATTGCAAGCGATCCACGACACGGTGCTCGGGCCAACGCCTGAGCGGCTCAGCTTCGTTCGCGACTTTTACGGGATAGACCAGACGGCTCGGGACTTGTCAGCAACAATGAAGCGCAATGCCATCAAGAAGATTCTCCACTTAGGCCTCGGGCTCAACCATATCGCACCAAAGAAGTCCAACGGGAAATTTGTTGCTGGCCGGCCCCACCTTTTCAAGCCGCTATTGTGGCAGGAAGTGCGAGAGAAGTACGGTCAGCTCGATGAGTACGAGGCGGCACTACCGATAGAGAGATGCATGATACGCACGTAGAAGTAGCTTCTGGTGCTGGTCGGTACGAGGAGGACCCTAGTGCACGAGCTCTTGATAAACATAATCTATTGGTTGTTGAGGCAAAGGGTTGGCGCCTTTTTTCCCGAATCGTTTCAAGGAGTTGTCGATTGTAATGATACGTGTTTTACTTACAAAGTGAGAAGTTGCACCGTTGCTTGTGTTATGAAGGGGATTTTGACTCCTACCGTTGCGCCATCAAATATCACTGAGGACATTGTTCATTGTAAGATGGTCGTACTTGCATATAAGGCAAGTTTTGACTGCTAGATGCCATCATGAGCGCCGGACCATATATCTCAATGAAGATTCCGAAGTCAGGTTGGAATGGCTATCATAATTACATGCTAGTCAAAAGTTGCACCATTACTACTTGATTGCTTATACCGAGAGGCAACTTTTGACTAGTTGTCACAGTCGCTTACAATCCTTTTTAAAGATCACAGATGACAACCGTGATGACACCAACAGCCACGCCTTCTAGCTCGCGTGTCGCGCATGTACTTAGGGTGACAGTATGGGAGCTGGATATATCAACGATGGAGCAGCTTCCGAATGGGTGCATGCTTTTTCGAGCCGTAGGGGTCAGCCTCGAAGGCCGTCAGGAACGCATTCGCAAGCTTCGATCCGGTCAGGAGCTCGTGCTGTGCAAGCATTCGGGGAACGGGTATGACGTGTACGCTATTGGGACCTTTGACTCGGCAGATCGCGGAAATCCTTTGGGGTTTGTTGCACGCGACATCAAGGATCATGAGGTGTTTGACACGGTCCGCCAAAGGTCGGAGATGCCGGCACGGGTGCACCGTGTCAATCGAGGCAGAGCAAGATGCCTCTGGCGCGATCGGACTCACCTCAGGTGCCGGCTCAGTCGGAGCGGAGCGAGGTGGGGTGGCAGGATGCGGGTCGCTGGAGGACGGGCTTGGACGGTCCTGCAAGACATCATGAAGGCGATGGGCTTTACGAAGAGCCATCATCTGAGAGGCTAGAGAGAAGCGCTGCGTTCGTTCGCGCCACTCGGTGAGATCCAATCGCAATCTGAAGATTGAAGGAGCCGCCAAGATCAGCAAATCAATTTTCTAACAGCTCGGCCGGCTTGCATCAAGAACACCTTGCGGTTGCAGGCCCATCATCCAAAAGAGAGTCTGGCAGTAGTGCAGCTAGGCCATCTCGTTCTCACCAGCAGATCGTCCGCTGACTTCTCATCCGTCGTCGGGGCAGCCCCGTTTGCTCTCAAAACGCCCTCCACATCCACCTCATGCACGCAGGAGCAAACCTTTTCATTTGAGACCAGACCGACCCTCACAGCGGACGCTGCTAGAACCTTGGAAGTGATGACGCCGACCAGAAGTCAAAAGTTCCCTTCTATATAAGCACGTTCGTCAATTCAGGGCCCAGCTTTTGACTACGAAACGAGACCGACCAAGTCAGTCGCAAGCTAGGAGCTGATGGTGCATACCAGTAGTCAAAAGTTCCCTTCTATATAAGCACCTCCGTTGCATAAGGCCCAAGAATTTGACTCCGGAACGAGACCGACCAACCTAATCACACGCTTGGAGTTGATCGCGGGACCAGCAGACAAAAGTCCCTTTCTGTATAAGCACGTTCACCAAAATAGGTTCCAGGTTTTGACTCCGACTCGAGACCGACCATCCTATCACACCCTTTGAGTTGATCGCGCGACCAGGAGTCAAAAAGTTCCCTTCTGTATAAGCACGTTCATCGGTTCAAGGCCCAGGTTTTGACTCCGAAAAGAGATCGACCATTCCAGTCGCAAGCTTGGAGTTGATCGCACCGACCAGGAGTCAAAAGTTCCCTTCTGTATAAGCATCTCCGTCGCATAAGGCTCCAGAATTTGACTTCAACAGACTGACCAGTCCACTCAACTCCTGAAACCCTACGGCAATATCACGCGGACCCGTTAGAATCTACCAGTTAGTATAAGCATATCAGCTTCCAATGGCGCAACTTTTGACTCCTTGATTTGCAAGATAGCCATTTCACCCACTACCATGCTAGCAAAGGAGCCGAGACAAACCTAAAGAGTGTGCGACCAAGAAAATGGTGCTCACTTGACCGTCACTCATGAGTCGCCATGGACTCGGCACGATCACGAAGCCCCCATCGTCCTCAGGATCTGGCGGGTCGTCATCGCTTGGCACGAGCTCCTCGCGCCCCCTGTGCTGCACCTCCTCCTCTGAACCAGCAGCACCACACCGCCGTGCCAAAACACTGCCATTCCCACCCGAAGACTCTGATGATGAGAGCAGCACCCGACGGCGCCGCCTGATTTGTGGAGAGCGGGCTGCCCCATCAAGCACCCGCCGCTTACGAAGACCCGGAAGCTCGTCCGACCCGGAATCCGTGTCCATTGCGGCTTCCTCAGAGCGCTGCGGCCGGATGCGGCCACCAGTAGCAGGCGGCAGCTGCTGATCAGCCCAACCCCCGACGCTCACCGTAGAGGAAGAGCCTTGTGAAGGGCTGCCTTCCTCGGCCGAAGCTTTCGACCAAGAGGACGGAGAACGGGCTCGGCAGCTTGTTTGGAGCGCCTTGGTCGCTCGTCCCGGCGCCTGCGGCTTGAAGCGCCGAGCCAGAAGCAGAGGGACATCCGAGTCGGAGCTCGATTCCCTGGCAGCACGAAACCTGCCTTGCGCAATCACCTCATTCTCTTCATCTTCGCTTGCGTCTTCATCGTCGATGAATGCGCGATCCCTGGATGTTTCCACGTCTTGAGGCTCGTCCACGCTCTCGAACTCCGCCCCCTCAATGTCCTCCCCTTCGTCTTCCGAATCCGACAGCTCCGACCCGGACTCATTGGCCGCACTCGTAGCCGACCGCTGGTTGCCGCCACTCATCTGGACAAACGATGAGAGGTTCCTGATCAGTTTCTAAGCAAACCTGATGCAAAGGTGACGACTAGCGCCGCTCGACTCGTGTTTCACAGACCGCAACCAGCCAGGCCGTGAGCTTTCACAAAGTGCTGGAATGTGACCCACTAAATACAGTCAAGTTGAGAAAGAAATCTGCTTGCTGCTTACAACATGCAGCTTGCCATCACTTTTGGTCCAATCTCAAGGGCTCGCGCTGGACAGCTATGCAAGGGACACTCAGCGACTTCAATGATCTCTTTCCCAGGCTGAAAGCAGTGCCAGTCTGAAGACGTTTGGGGTCAGGATGCAAAGATCAGTAATACCTCGTCGCAACTGTCCGATGTGATGTAACTTGATAACTCACCTGCTCACTCAAACGTGCTTGGCTCCTCCACGCTTCGAACTCTGAATGCATGCTCTGGGCTTGGCGCAGCGGCGGACTGCCGTAAACCTCCTGCACAACACAGAAAGGCGATGATATTGAGCTCAGGTTCCCTCATTTGTGCCCTTTTTGTTCTGGGATGCTGCACGTCTCACCATCATGCAAACGACATGCTTCTCATGATTGGGCATGATTGGACATGCTTCTTCAGCTCGCACGCAAGCGATCTCAGCAATCATGGAAGGATCCTCTTCGATGATGCTGCAAGGGGATTGTGTGCGCGCTCACCTCCAGCGACGGCAGTGGGATGAGTGGCCACCCTCTGTCGATGTCGCTTCCCAGCGTTGTCCTGTCTTGAGCCGCAGAATCGCTTACCTCGTTGCCCCCCCAGCCGGGATTGGGCTCGATTCCCCCAATGATCAGGAGCGTTGCTGCTCGCAAAAAGACCACACCTCGGAATCTAGAGACAGATGCAGGACGCGGAGCGTAGCTTGCGATGGAAGGATGTTATGGATCGATGGCGAAGAAGGCAACTGATATGGGCAAAGCACAAGAGCTCGCAAAGCTGGACCTCTGGGGCGTCAGCAATGACCCTCTCACCTGTGAGGCGTCTGCTCTTGGGCGCTGAATTATAGTACAGCCCACTTCGCTGAAAAGTATGGTTGTAAGCTGCAATTTATGAGCGAATGATCAACAACTTTGCATCCTAGTATCCGGAATGATATTGAACACGCCTGCAATGAAAGAGACGTAAAGCAAGTGCTCACTCAACAGGATACTTGCTTCAGACTGGTGAAAGGCATATCCTGTGCAGGTTCATCTGCGATTGAGCGCTCACCTGACTGACTGCGAGTCTGGTCCATCTGCCCAACGACCTTAGCTTCTGCGCGTCCCAGCGCTGCAAAGGACACACGTGGTGGGTTGGGGTTCGAAACCCGGATCGGTTTCATCGCAGAACCCTGTTGCTGCCCAAAAGTGCAACGCTTGCCCACTTCTTTTGCCGACCCACTTATCGATGCAGCTCTCACCTGCACGGTCCTTGTCGATGCTAAAGTAGCGGTAGGAGTCTGCGTGCTCATCGCAAACGTACTTCACTTGCCCCCCTTCCTTGCTTCCACGCAACCCACAGTCTGCACTGGCGCCGCATTTGTGGCAGTACAGAGCGTACGGAACTGGAAAAAAGACAACAAGGGAAGGTAATCTTTTCTTGTGCTCGCGCAGTGCTTTGCTGCCTGATCAAGAGCCGCTTCCACAATCAAGCAGCGGTTGATGGATTCAGAGTTCGTGTGTCGCCGTTTTCAAAGGAGCTGGGGCAACAGAAGACACCCTCCCTACATTTGACAGCCCCGCCCACAATCACATCAGCGCACAACTCCTAGCAACCCATTGATGATGGTCCAGAACTCCCAGCAAAGACCCCAAGAATGGATGCACCCCAAGACCATGCAGAATCGCTCAGGAACTGCTTTAGTTTTGCATCGCCCTGCTTCAAACCCGACCTTTGGTGATAAGATGCGTCACCAAGAAAGGGATCGAGCCGCAACCCACCTATATCCTCTGGTCCACAGAACGAGCGCGCAAGGCCCTGAGCTGCCGTACTTTGTGCACGGTGAGTCGCAGGGCGGGGCGGTCGTTGCCTCGCTCTGCAGACTCCGCTGGACGCAGTCGCTGGCTGCTTGAGCCCCTCCAGGTGGGCCTCCCTGATCGAGGTCAGAACCTTCTCATCTTGCAGGCCAGTGTCTGCGGTGCCCGCCAGCGCCTGGAGGCCTGCCATCGCGGCATGCAGGCTCCCATCCCAGGCAGCCTTCGACCAGAGGAGGCCTGCAAACCCGAGCTCCTCTCGAGCTCGCTGGCACAGGGTTCCTGCCACCTTCCGATAGATGCGGTGGCCTCTCTTTGAGTTGGTGAGAAAGCCCCTGGCCGCGCTCGCCACGAGCTCTCTGATGCCTGACGGTGGGAGAGCATCATTGAGAGGTGCGCCGAACGAGTCCTGCAGGATCAGAGTGCCACGATGAGACACAGACATTACATTGTGGCATGGTGACTGGGCCTAGGAAAGTGCCCGGCATGGAGCTGACAATTTGCACCAGCTGACTTAAGCATTCGAGCCTCCAAGCCAGTGCAACTTGTCAAACTCTGCTCTATCAATTACAGAAAAACTCTGAAAAGTGCCCGGCATGGGCCTGACAATTTGCACCAGCTTCTTTAAGCATTCGAGCCTCCAAGCGAGTGCAAATCGTCAGACTTTTGCTTTGTCAACCCCAGAAGAAACCACAAAGTGCCCGGGCTGGGCCTGACAATTTGCACCAGCTTCTTTAAGCATTCGAGCCTCCAAGCAAATGCAGATTGTCAAACTCTGCTCTATCAACTACAGAAGAACTCTCGAAAGCGCCCGGCATGGGCCTGACAATTTGCACCAGCTGCATTAAGCATTCCAGCTTCCTAGCCAATGCAAATTGTCAGTCTTTGCCTTGCTCTGTCAATCCCAAAAGATTCTGGGAAGCGCCCGGTATGGGCCTGACAATTCGCACCAGCTTCTTTAAGCATTCGAGCCTCCAAGCAAATGCATTTTGTCAGCACCCCGCACACCCAACACATATCATTTTCAGACAGGCCCATGCTGTATCCCAAGACTTAACTGCGCAACCCCTCAAGCAGCAGAATCTGTGCCTGCAGGTTTGGTGAGCTCACCATAGAAGAAGGCGGCGATACTGCAGCAGGAGCGCGCTTCTTATCAGCAAACAGCGAGGCTGCCGACTCCTGGTGTTTTGGTGTTGTAATCTCTGCTGTCTGCTGCAAGAAATGACCAAACAACAGTCAGGGATCCCTCAAGAATCTTGCATTGACAAGCAATTGATCTCAGGTGTGGACTCACATAGGCCATCGACTGACATTGGTCACGCTTTGAACGCAATGTTTTAAGAGCCTGCAGGTGCGCAGGTCGGCCAGGTGCGCAGGTGGTCATCTGCAGAAGGATATACGCCTGGGCACAAAAGCTTACCTTGTAACCTGGCGTGCGGCGCGGCTGTCAATGCACTTCGCTGTTGCTGACCAACCAGCCTGCACCAAGATTATGTACCAAAATGCATGAAGTGTATCAATGGATTGGATTGCCATAACAATTGCAGGTTGCTAATTGCCAAGACAACTGCACGGCGGCGTTGACAACACGTCTGGGGCATATGGTGTTGACAACACATCTGAGGCATCCTACCTGATCCCAGTGCAGGCTGCGTGTTAGGCTGCCTCCAAGAGCAAAAAGGCATGAAAACAACCATTCAAGCACATAGCACAGGCCTTGGAAAATGCCAGAAGAAATGAAAGGCGAGCTGCTCTCACCTGAGCATGGCCAGACGCCTGTGTGCACGACGCGCTAACCACGGACTGCGACCTTCCAAGCTGGCTCCAGGGCTCCTTCCAGAGATGAACCCTTTGTTGTTTTGAGAAATGAAGGTGGGGCCCATTGCACCCCATCAAAAGAAGCTGGGAAAGCTGCCAGAGGACGCCAAAGAGCGCCATCGGGTGCCGCTGCCAAGTGTGCCAAGTCACCAATTGCTGACCTAATGCTGACCTATCGAAGCATCTTCTTGCTTCTAGAAGGACGCGTGGCAGCAAACCCAGCGTTTTCAAGCTCTGCCGCGGGGCGCCAAAAGACGCCAGACCTTGCCAATGCCACCTGTCCTTAGTGATCTGGATGCTGAGTCACCTCTGGAATTCTCTCAAATCAAGAAGGAAGGATGATGCCACAGCATTCAATCAGCACCTCAAAGCTGATACACAACGTGATGCGCCGTCATGACTCACTCACATGAGCTCGAGGCTGGACAAGTTTACGGGCAACCCTGGCTGCTACCCTTGCTGTGGTAGCCTCTGCTTGGTAATCGCTCATGAAACTAAGACTTGAACTCGGACTCGAATCTGGGTGTGCAACACGTGGTAATGGTGAGCCGGGGCCGTTAAGGTGGTAGGACGGTAATTCAGGTTGGATTGACCCTGGTTTACGTTCTGGTTCATAGAATGTTCAAAAGTAAACCAAATCAGGTTTCGTCTTCTGCGATGGCTTCGAGACACCCTCGGGGTCCTCTCGAAGCTCCTCTAACCACCTCGAAGTAGTTTGGTCAGTCTGAGAGACCCTGCCAACTCCAAACAACCTGGTTCAAAGGGGTATTTCCATTGGATTTTCTGCCTGTCAACTGCCACGATAAATTTCCTTCGAACAAGAGGAAATCACCTTCGTTTTAAGCTGGGTGTCAAAAACATTTTTCCAAAAAAAATCTGACGGAAATGTGCACCGCCAGGGGAACATACCTGGTCAACAACCTGAGAAAAAACCATTTTGAGCATATAAGCTGGGAGTTTTGACCATTAACGGTGCACATTTTCGTCAATATTGTGATTTAACCGTTCGATAGACATCCCAGCTTGCCCCGATTCAGTTTTAGGGGGGTCAATGAGAATTCTATCATTTCGTTTTTCTGACGGCCAAGGGTTCATGTAGGGGGGTAAATGTTCAAACTTCCTCAACTTCAGACTTTCCTCGACAAGTCGTCAGTGAGTTCGAGGTGGTCCCAGAGTGCTCGAGGGGGCCTCCTTGGTCCCCCCCGAAAGATGCAAAAGACGGGACTCGATTTGACCACGTTATGACCAAGTTACGCCCCTTCAAACCCTAGAAACCCTCTTTTCTGGCTGAATTACCGTCCTACCACCTTAAACTAGGTGCCAGGTCCTTCAAAGTTATGGCCCGGGCAGATAGCTCATGCGGAGGGCGATCTCCCAGTCGGAGGTCCGTTCGATCACTGTTTAGGGACCGGCCACCTCTGCGTTCCCCCGGGGGAGCTGACAATGCGCCAGATGACTGGCCCCATTTTTCATGGCTGAACTTTTGGGTTGCTGGGAATCTGTTGTGAGGACTCGGGGCTTCCGAAGAATTCGCACCTGGGGCGATCCTGGCCGGCCAGAATCAAGGTCAGCCGGGGCTTAAGGCCCCCGGCGGCTGGCTGGCCGGCTCGGACCAACCCCTTCTACTGGAATTGTTTGTGATATCCCCGGGGGAGAGGGTTGCCCCGCGGCGCCCGTGAAAATCCTTCCAATGCACTGAGTCGTAACCTGGCAGTCTAAGGGAAGAGGGCTTTCGGCAGCGACCGCAGCTCCTGCGGCACAGCAGACAGGAAGACCGCTCTCTGCCTTCCCAGTCATACTGAAGGGCGCTCTTGTGCATCTATGATGACCCTCTGTTCGTCAATTGGGAGGTTGCCGGCAGTTTCGGCAGGGGCTTGCGTCAAGTACGTCGGGCTGGGCAAAAAGCAGGTGAGAGGATATTTCTTGGGTGTCATTGCCTGACTGACATTTTGTTCCGTTTCCTTTGCTGCAAAAGTGCGACGGGCGTTTCTGATCATTCTAAAATAGAAGACACTCTGCAGACTGCTGTGTTTGCTGTATACACAAAGGGTGTGGACTTTATCCAGAACGGTAACTTCAGCATAATGACATCAGTGCATGCTTAATCTGGTGTCAGAAACTTCTACGGGCTTTCCATGAAATTCCTCTAACTTTCCCATCCCCTTCCTGCCTTGCAGATTGGCTTTGAGGGATGCACTGCGCCACTGTCTCGCTGCTCTGCTTTGAAACCCCACGACCATGCCTCCTCAGCTCCTCAGCACAAGCCCGACAAGCCTGCCCCGTCCATCCGGCAACGACGACTGAAGGTGAGCGCTTTCTTGATATGCTGGGACTTTATCAGCATGTCAAAGCGTGGAACCATCAGGTTGTTGCTTTGGTAAGCAAACCTTGCTCTGACCAGGCCAGAGCTTGTAAATTGATTATGGCCTCTGCTTATGCATTATAATCCAGGATCTTTGCGCTGGCCTCTGGTTTTCACTGAATTGGTCCTGCGTCAAACCTTTGCAAACATGCACATGTGTGCAGCTTCCCGGGTCAGCAATCACTGGGGATCCCAGCAATCGATCCTCTGTCATGATCGAGTATCAGCACGATGGAGGGCCGCTGACCAGAGACGAGCTCCACGAGGTACATGCAACAATCTGTTTAAAGTTTATTTTGGGAGAAGGAGCAAACCCCATCGTGCAGTATCCTGAAGCAGACGAAATACCCAAGCTTCCAATGGCTGTCTCGATCTTGGATTTATCGAGCTCTGATCTTGGAGGAGCGAGGCTTCCTTCAGCACTGAAGTTATATAGCAGCTAGAATTGGAGCAGCGAAGGCGAAGACACAATCCTGTACTGCTGTCAGCGACAACAGGCCTTTCATTGAAGTTATCTGCACCCTGAGACCCCGAGCCTGAGCACTGGGTGACTCATGTAGTATTCGTAGCTGCTGAGGTGTACTGCGGTAATCTGCAGCAAGCTATCGACCCAGTTTCGAAATCCAGCTGAGAAGATTTTCTGCTTCTGTTACCCAACTGCTTTGGACATGAAAACAGAAGCGGACCTAAACCGAAGAGGCATTCGTGGTGCAAACGCTCAAGAGCAATGGTAAATGCGTCTCAACAGTATCATTTTTGAGACCCCACTCTTTACCCCACTTTTCAGATTATCTGAGAAGGCAAGAATATCGTGCTCGGCCTTTCATCATGACGGCCCTGTCCGTTTTTGCACTCTTATCAGCTTTGTGCAATTCTGCAGGATTTTCAGCGCGTCTACCCGGAAACAACACTTTGGTCCGACGAGGAGTGGGAATGGATTCTCGAGGATGTGCCGCAAGAGAAGCAAGCCGAGGCTCGGCAGGCAGTGGAGGCAATGAGGAGGAGAAGTACAGGGATGGCTCGGGAGAGCGGCGACGGGAACGGAAGCGAGAGCGTCTCCTCATAATCGCCGACGCAAATATGCTCCTCAGTTATGCAATCTGGTGCTCATGGAAGCAGATTATGGAGATGCATCCTCGTGAGGCGGAAATCGTAACTGTAACTCCTGCCCTTGCTGAGGCGGTGCGTAATGCTCATGCCTTAGCAAACGCAGAAGCTGCAGCGGCCATTTACGATGAATTCTGGGGGAGAGACAAGGAGGGCCAGCCAATTCCAATCAAGACGCACCCATCGTGCAAGAATCTGGAGTGGCTTGCGGAATTGCTTCTTGGGGGGGCAGCTATCTCTGACCAAAGGGTAGTTGCTGCACTTTTTGGTCTCAAAGTTTCTAGGATGCGACCAAAATGGTTCGTTACCCAGGATAGGAGGCTCGCCCGAGCCCTGAAGAAGCACGAGAATCTCCTGAAGACTTGACGAAGAGGCCACCGTCTCTCCGGAACTCTATGTTATGGCGCTGATGGAGACAACTAACAGGGTGGACGCCATGAAAGCGCTGCTCCTAATTAGCTGTATTCAGACGACATACAAAGAGTTGCTGGCGCAACTCGGTCTGGTCTCTTGTTCTAGTGCAAAGACAAGGTCGTCTCTATGAATATCTC